CTCGAACAGTGGCCAAAGTGAATGGATCGCGCAATGGGGTGTGCCCTACAAATAACATACTGGCCAAGCGTCCAAATTTGAAAGAAGTTTGTTCAAAGAGCTGTCTCATATAATGAATACTAAGAAGGCCCGAACCATAGTGTAGACTCTTAGGGAAATGGTACTTGTGCAACGCACAAGTCCAGCTCATAGACATATTTCATCCAGAACGGGAAACTTTGGGTGACCCGAAAATCTTGGGCAAAATCCTCGATCCTGTGTACCAATCAGTGAATCCGTGAATCATCTGCGAGGAATCAGAGCACTCGGATTTCGCGCCAGTGAGCTGTTTGCTGACCTTCCATATATAAGGCCAACACCATTCTCTGTGACAACAGACCGTTAAATGCAGGTATACAGATTGTTTTTCCTATCTCTTCCCCGGAGGTCTTGTGATGTTTGATGTTCATGCAACTTATGAAGGCAGGTCCTGTTTTCGGCTATGTACTAGGGAGGGCCGCCCAGAGACATCAGAAAGTACACTCGGCCAAAGCTTCAGGGTAGGCCGTTTAACCCTGGCGATAGAATTCAACCGTATGAGCCGGCACTCCCCGGATCTGTACCGGTTAATTTTCACTGGACATTTATTAGGAGCAAGCTTTTACCAACGTAACCCACAGCCTTGTTTCCGCGTGAATGTCGAACAAGTTAACCGTAGTGCATGTCAGTTCCCTGGGGCCTGCAAACATGGTATCCGATAGCTCTGTTGACAGCGCCTTTCTGAGAAGCGGGCTTGTGTAATATGCCGGCAGATATCAAAATACGCGCCAACGTTACTTACAACCCCCTTTATCCGCTTTCAGAATCGGGGGTGGTAATTGAGCTAGAACATGAACACATCCTCAAAACACCGTTCAGGTGAGATAGAGCACTCTCAATACCTGATGCTCCTGGATGCTCAAGGGAATTTAACAACCGGATGTTTCTGTTAGCCACTCAAAGTGTCTGGTTAACAGAGCATAACCGTTAATTGCGTTATTGTACTCCTCAGATAATAATTAGTGCACAGTACGTTACAGCGACGCCCAATGTGATCAGGGATTAGGCTATTGGAAAAACAGGTTTACACCAGTGAGAAAATTTGGGTCTTACCATTCAATCAGTCTGCGGTAGGCGCAATAACCTGAAAGACTGTATACTGTTGTTTGATGATGCCTCATATTCACCTTTGACAAGCAAAACTAGCATACTTGCAAATCAATTTAGTTTTCACGGGAGACACAACTGAATCTCTCGTTTATAATGTC